TATTACAAAGCAGGGGGAATTTCAATTCAGAGAAACTGGTATTTCAGAAGGACCATGTCTGCCTATGGCACAGCAACACATCTTCTGCTTCTTATCTAACCACCAATTTATAGGAAATATAAATATTCCTTAGAAACTAGCCTGTGGGTCCCCTGGGACCCTCAAAACCATCTCCTGGGGGTCCGTGGAATCAGAACTACCTCCACAACAATGCTCAATTATCCTCTATCTTTTCCTGATGCTCTCACACACATTAGTGGTGCCTTGCAGCAGTCATGAGATGTGTGATGTAATACACTGAATTCAGAAACAAACATGAGAAATCATTTCCCATTAAGGCACTTAAAAGACCTGCAGGGGCTGAGGTAGTTCAGTTGTAGACTGCTGGCTCACTCAGCATTAAGAGACCCAAACTCTACCCACAGCACCACAAACAATGTAAAAATAGTCACTCCTCTTCCTAATACTCTTTTAGGAAAGATACTTTCATCAAAACATTCAAGGTTGCATGAAGTCAACTTCGTCATTTTTAAATACTTAATGAATGTAGTAAATGCAAATAAACATCACAAATTTTAAAAAAGATGAAGAAAAAAAAGAAGCTAACATGTTTTAGGTGTTAATAAAGATTATCTTCTGAAGATGGGAGACAACTACATGATGTTTATATTTGACATGTTTCATGATCTGTTTTTCTTGATCGGCCTAATAACTGATAGCTTAAATTTTCCATCCAAAAAATGATACAAAATCACTTTATACTGCAAGTCTTATTCCTGGAAAGAGATGTGAAAAAAACCTATGAAAACAAGGAAAAAGTGTTGCAGCTACAATTCCATTATCTTCAAAGACACAGTTGGTATTGGTTTGAGAATGACAATTCTTTTGTTATTGTTACTGTTGTTTTGTTTTGTTTGAGACAAGGGCTTCTCTGTGTAGCCCTGGTTGTCCTGGAAATCACTCTGTAGACCAGGCTGGCCTCAAATTCAGAGATCCACCTGTCTCTGCTTTCCCGGAGCTAGAATTAAAGGCGTGTGCCACCACTGCCCGGCCTATTTTTAACTATGAAAATCACACAACTTAGGAAATTGTCAATTTATAACAGAATCTCTTCAAGGACATATTATATATTGCTATTTTTTTGTTTTGTTTTTGTTTGTTTGTTTGTTTTCGAGACAGGGTTTCTCTGTGTAGTTTTGGTGCCTGTCCTAGATCTCACTCTGTAGATCAGGCTGGCCTTGAACTCACAGAGATTCACCTGGCTCTGCCTCCTGAGTGCTGGGATTAAAGGTGTGCGCTACCACCGCCTGGCCTATATTGCTGTCTTTAAAACAAATGTTCTAAAACCAAACAAATTACGGCTCAGCAGGTAAAGGCAATTGTTCTTGCAGAGGACTGGAGTCGGGCTCTGGGCACCCAGGGCATGGCTCACAGCTGTCTGTAATCCCAGTTTCAGGTTTCAACACCCTCTTTGGGATTCCTCGGGCACACAAATGGTGCACAAACATACACACGCACCTTTACACATAAATAAAATTTAAAGAACATTTTCTGTGCAACAGAATGACCAAAGAACAAAAAACACACATTTAAAAAAAAAATCACATACTGTCATGTCCAGACTCTGTTGGGCAGCATTTACATGGGCTGCGTGTGCCCACCAGCTGCAGATGCACACACCTGCATCTAGCTCACTGACTAAAAAAGAAAGCAACGACGACGATGAAACTGCTGGGCATTACTAACTTGTGTGAGTATCACAATTTAAAGGCCATTTTTAAGAGCTATAAATGTAACTCAATGGTCTTCTTTCCTTATCACACAGGACCTGGACCATGTGCCCTCTTCACATCCCTACAGTTTTATCAACTTCAGCATCCTCGTGTCTTATAGCAATCAATCATTTAACTACTGCAAACTAGGAGACTATCGCTGTACACAGAACTGTAAGGCTGGGGGTTATGAGAAAACAGTACTATGGTACTGCAAGGCCTCGAGTTCAATCCCCAGTACTACACACCCCCCAAAGTAAGTTACTTTCATTTTTGTGATAAGGTTGCAATACACCATTCTGTGCCCATGTGCTCTATTTCAGGATATATTCCTAGCAAGAGAACGTTGATGTCAACAGGCATATATATACTTTCAACTTCATTAGAGGTCAAGTTCATCTCTAAAGCAGGTATACCACTTTAACTCTTCCACTAAGCATTGTTATTAATGTTTCTCTTTATCCTCAACAATTCTCGATATTATTATGCTTTTTTTACTTATTTATGGGGACAGCATCTCTCTATGTACCCCTAGCTGTCCTGGAACACTCTCGATCCACCAACTTCTGTCTCCCAAGTGCTGGAAACTAAGGGTATGTGCCACCACACCTGCCTTATCATACTTTTTAATTGCCAAACTAATCAGCCATTGATATCACTGGTCTATTTTTTTTTTCCTAATTACTAAGTGTCACTTATTGACCTTTCAGGTTTCTTAGGCAAAAAGCACATAAAGGTGCTGTCTTCTTACGATGGCTTCCTACTGTCCCTGCCTATGTTGGCTGCATGTGTTGGTAAATGCTTTCCTGCCTGCCCACTCCCATAAGTCTATTGCTGACTTTGAAATTCACAGCTACTTTCCAAGCTCCCACTATTAGTGTTTCTCAGAGCTTTTTGTTTTTCTGAGATAGAGTCCCCTCTGTGTAGCCCTGGCTGTCCTGGAACTCAATTTGTAGACCAGCCTGGTCTTGAACTCACAGAGATCCGCCTGCCTCTGCCTTCCAAGTGCTGGGAGTAAAGGTGTGTGCCGCCGCCACTGCCAACACCGCCAACACCAGGATTCTCAAAGTTTTTGATCCCCTCAGCTGAAACCCAACCCAAGTAATTAAACTGAAAATCAGAACAGTAGCTCATTTTGGGGGGAGGGGGGAGTTCGAAAAAGGGTTTCTCTGTGTAGTTTTGGTGCCTGTCCTGGATCTCGCTCTGTAGACCAGGCTGGCCTCGAACTCACAGAGATCCGACTGGCTCTGCCTCCCGGAGTGCTGGGATTAAAGGTGTGCACCATCGCTGCCCGGCACTCAATTTCTTTTAAAAGCTATCTTCTTACTTACAGCAAACACACAAGACAATCTGACCTCCACATGTACCCACATGCAAGTAAGTACACACAAACAGTAAGTGTACTAAGAAAGGGGGCTGGAGAAAAGGCTCAGAAGTTAAGAGCACTGGCTATTGCACAGGACCCGGGTTCAGTTCCCAATACCCACATCCAATTAACCACATCCACATGTAACTGCAGTTCCTGGGAACCCAACGCCCTCTTCTGGAATCCGTGGACATAGGCACAGCAAGAAGAGAACATACATAATTAAGGCATACAATCATACATATAAAACTAATTTTATTAATGTAATTTAAAAAAAAGATGAAGAAGAGTTGCCTGGTGGTGGTGGTACACGACTTTTATCCCAGCACCTGGGAGGCAGAGGCAGGCAGATCTCTGAGTTTGAGGCCAGCCTGGTCTACAGAGTGAGTTCCAGGACAGCCAGGGATACACAGAGAAGCCCTGTCTGGAAACACACACACACACAATCCATGCAACAAAAAAAAAAAAGTTAAAGCCCAGACACTTTATATGAAATCTATGCGAATGTCTGAAACAATAAAGAACAGAGCCACTGTATTCGATGATTTAAAAATTAAAGGTACAATTCAGATGAAGCCAATGAAAAAAGACAGGATCTCACTATGTACTATGCAGCCCTGGCTGACCTGGAGCTCGCTTACTTCGAACACAAGAGATCTTGACTCCCCTGTGCTAAAATTAAAAGGTGTGTCCCACCACACCGGGCCACCAATACCTATTTTATTTTCTGTGGGTCTAACACAAACTAGCTCTTTACACATAAAGTTACTCAGCAGGAATGAACAGAATGTTTGCATGTCAGTGAGCGAAAGACATCCGTTCAAAAAAGTTCGCTTTGCTATGGGTATCACTATTAAATATCCTGTAAAATGAAGACGCTGAACTTAGGGTCCTTAGATTAATGTCATTTTCAGGTAAGGCATCTACAATCCAAAAGCTCAAAGAAATTCGCCAGACGGGATCCTCTTTCCTACCAAGCCATCACTCTTTACTCCGCATCACGTGGAGTAATCTCGCGGTTCAAAATCTGTCATACCTGTACTAGTTATGCATGAGCAAACTGATCTATCATAGAAGGAGCACAACTCCCAACCCTACATTTTTTTTTCCTTTCAACTTCCTGATTTTTTTCCTTCTCTTATCTCCATGAAAAACTACAGGATGAGAAAAACACCGACTGCGTGAGTTTCGGGTTCTAACCGGGTGTTGGGCCCAAGCCTCTCGATACCGATCCAGTTCTTGGTTGCGGGATTTTTTTTTTTATTTACACGTTTAGTATGTCGCTGCGGACCAAGCACCGGTTCCCACGGAGGCGTGGTGAACGAAGAGAGGGACCCACTACTCCCCCCGCCCGCAGACCCCGGGAAAGTACTCGCGAGCCCTGGCGGGGACTCGGGAGAGCGCGGGTGGGACACGCAGAGCCAGGGCTAAAAGCCGAGTACCAGGGAGTCGGGGTGGTTCACGGAGTGCCAGGGGCAAGACGCCGGGACCCAGCGAAAGGACGCGGGATCCAAGACACGGGGATGTGCGGCGCGAGATGCTAGCAGCCCGGAGCGGAAAGCGGGGGGCCGGGAAGGAGGGGGGAGCAGGGCGCGGGATCAGGGAACCCGGGACCGGATCCCCGCGAACCTGGCTTAGGTCGCAGGGAGGCGACGCGGGAAGCTAGGGAGCCGGGAGACCGAATTCCCAGGGACCTGGGGAAAACTAGGGAGCCCGGGCGGAACTCAGGGAGCCGGCGCGGGGAGTTCGGGGTGGCAAAGCTAGGATCCTGGGGAGAGACGGGGAGCCTGGAGCAGGACCCCGGGGTCCAGGGAGCCGGGGAAGCCAGCCCGGGGCAGGACGCGCCCCGGCTGCTAGCTCACCTTTGCGGAGCTCCCGCTCCCACACCGTGACGATGGGCCGCGAGTGTTTGCGGTGGTGGATGAGCCACAGGGACAGGGTCTGCACGCTCTGCTGCGAGTTGCTCAGCTCCGACAGCTTCTTCTCCAGCGCCGCCTCAGAGAAGGCGGACATCCCTCCGAAACCACGTCCGCGCCGTCCCACGCCGTGGAGCCGAGGGGAGGGGAGTGTCGCCGCCCTCGTCGCCGCCTCGCCCCCACACCCCACCCTTCCCCACGCCCTCGCCGCCGCCACCCCCGAGTCCGAGGCCGGCCGCAACCTCGCAAGATGGCGCCCGGCCGGCAGTGACGTCGCGCGCCGGGCCCCGCCCCCTCGCGCGGCTCATCCTGGGAAAGGAGACGCGACCGGGAGGCGGGAGTGGAAGTGGGGCGGGGATCGAGCGGAAGGGGCCGGAACTAGGCGAGGGAAGGGAAGAGGGGCGGGGCGGGGGGCGGGGCGGGGGGCGGGGCGGGGGTCCTGGGGCGGGGCCAGGCCTCCTGGGAGCGGTCCTGGGCTTTCTGAGTCCTTGTTTCTAGGGAAAACTGCTCTGCTGCCTTAATAGTGATGACGGATCTCCGAGTAGCTTTGTCCGTGGATGTAAACTGGTGCAGCCACTTTGGAGGACAATATGCATGATCGATTACATTAAATACCACATAATCCTGATGGTGACAACCGCCAAATGTTGGGGGTCCGCATAGGTACTATATACAGTATGACCCCTGTCTAAAATCAAGCAGGGCTGGGGGTGTACTCCGCGGTACGCTGCTTGCCTAGCATACATGAGACCCTGGGCTCAAACCTCAGTTCAGTGATTAAATAAGCGAGCATACAAATGTGGGCTGTAGTTCAGTTGGGTAGCGTTCTTGCCGAGCAGGAAGTTCTGTGCTCCTTCCCCAGCACAGCATTAAAAAACCTGGCCTGCTGGTGCATGCCTGCAATCCCAGCACTTGGAAAGAATCAGAAATTGGAGCCTAGCCTTGGCTACATTTTGAGACCAGCTTAGAAGAGTGAGACCCTCTCTCAAAAAAAGGTGGGGGACTGGACAGACGACTCAGCTACTGAGAGTGTTTCCTGCTCTTGCAGAGAACCTGATTTCAATTCTCAGCACCCACGTAGGGCGGGTCACAACCACTTGTAACCCCAGCTCCAGGGACTCTAACACCCTTTTCTGGCCGCCTAGGCACCTGTATGCTTGCATAAATGCACAACACATAAAAATAAAAATAAATACTTAAAAAAAAAAACAAAACAAGAACCAATATAACTCACCCAAGGGGTCAACAAGGTTTGGCTTTTTTTTTTCTTTTCCAGACTCAGCTATTGCCAACTGAGTATGATTGTAACCGCTCAAGTCTATGGACACCAGTCATCATTGCTCTATGGCCTGCTGGGCCAAGCCCTGTCCTCCGTACTTGCTTTTCCTGCTCCTCCAGGTGTGTCTTGAATTCCATCCAGAAGCCTAGGAACTGAAAGGTGCTTTGTGTCCTCAACGCTAACTGCCTATCTCCTACCAGTTACTCCTGTTTCCAATGAAGAGTGTGCAAAGGGAGGCCACAGTGTGCCACCAGAAGCACAGGGTCATGGCCTTCCTAACTTCTTTGTTGTACTCTGCACACAGGTAAGGGTACCCAGACCCTGAAGGCTTGGACTACATGAGTTACAGTCACCAAGCTGTTCACCGTGTGTTTGTGTGTGTTGAGGGGTGGGGGTGTTTTCAGAGGGGGTGAGGATGAGACAGGGATTCTCTATGTAACAGCCCAGGCTGTCCTGGGATTCACTTTGTAGACCAGGCTGGCCTTGAACTCACAAAAGATCCAACTGTCTTTGCCCACCCCCCAGCCTGGGATTAAAGGCCTGTGCCACCATGCCTAGCCCGTGTGTGTGTGTGTGTGTGTGTGTGTGTGTGTGTGTGTGT